AGAATTCTGGACACTATTTTAAAGAATATTAAAATTATCCTTTTTCCCCAGAGAATTTTGTAAGTATTTTTAATTAAGAATTTGTTCATTTGTTTCGGTTAATTAGGATTATGTTACTGTACGTAATCCTTAAATAGAGTTTTGGTAGATATTAGCGGCGCCATTGGAGTACAAAGGATTAAGGGGATTGTACCGTAACTAGTCAGACCAACTAACTTTTCATCTCTGCAGATTACATATCTACGAGTGTTTTGCATATAAAACTTCTGTCGTTGCATGATTAAAAAGACAACTGGTAATATAATTATTTAAAATTGGAAGCAATAATGGCTAGTGGGTAGCCTCTGTCGTTTCGAAAGATAGCGGAAGTCGCTACAGTGGCGCGTAATAGCTAAATGGTTAACGCGATAGTGGCGGTGCCAGGGTTAAACGTGGCGACAAGATTCCGAGGAAGTGGGGCGAAGTTAATAAACCGAGTCGCGACGGGGACAATAAGACACTGATAAGAAGAAAACATTGTACGGGGTGGTATAAATAGGAAGCAGCTAGCGGGTCGAACGATGTCGTAAGCAGTTGCCTCACGTACGCAATTTTTGCCGCAAACCGTTTGCGCTTGGAACCTCGCTTGGAATATTACGAGTACGGACGATTTAGCGACCGAGCCAAACGCGATGCATTTTTCTACGGCGAACACGCAGGGGTTGCTCTCGGGACGGTTCATTTTGCTCGCCGCCATCGTGTAGCCGCGAATCCCCCCCGAAAGATACATTATTCTCTTCGACGCGTTAAAAAATACATGAATGCTAAAATATACATTACGCAACATATTCCGTTCGGAAACAGCGTATTCATAACCTACCTGTTGCCTTGAGGTAAAAAAATCCCCCAATTTTTTTATCCCCTCAATGTGTTTTCGATAGGAAATATTTGGAACCATTTACAAATAACTCTACGAAAATATGAGATACCAAAAAATTACTGATATTGAATGAGGGATGAATTTAGCCCTCTTTTGAACTCTTCTCCACCACTGTCCAAGAGCAGTAGGTTTCAGCGAAGTCGTTTAATCCAACGAAATTCTTTAAATTACTATGTTATGTGAAGTCAGATTTATTAGAATCTTTGGAACATACTATTAAAGGACTAACATTACAATTTCACGATAAGGAATTGGGAAAAAAATTTACAAATAACAAACAGCAGAATATGCTGATCCAATTGGAACAACTGATGAAGAACTGTTTATCTATTCTACAAGCAGAACATAAATTTGAAGAGATGTTACAGAAGTCATTCAAATGAGAGACACACAGTAAATATTACTGTATTTATATGTAAAGCATTCTTTATAAACTAGAATACTACATCAAACCAGAATGCTTGGTTTCCTCCTACCCCCTATCTCTCTTAAAGCTCCGTTTACAAATAACTCTACGAAAATATGAGCTGCCCAAAAAATTCCTAAAGTTGAACAATGAGTTTAGCCCTCTTTTGAACTGCTTTCCACCACTGTCCACGATCACTAGGTTTCAGCGAAGTCGTTCGAACGGCGGAAGCCTCGAAACGAGGCCATTAAAGTTGCATATTTGGAAGGAACGCGATCGGTTTCGGGCGAAAACGGACGTCGATTCGTTTGCGCCGGGGGCTTTACAGCCGGGCGTTTAGAGTCGACTTAAGTACAGTCTTGTCGTCCGGAGGGCCGCCTCATTTCACGAACAGTCGCGCGGAGGCAGAACGCGTGTCTGTCAATAAATACGCCTCGAGGTATTTTAACAGCGGCAATAATTTTCGTCGCGCCATAAATCAGCGCGCGGCCGCGACGCGTGAAGGGCGCACCCTTCGCGACTCCCTTTTCTCTCCTTTCTTTTTTTTCTCCGCGTCTCTGTCGCTCGGCTACGAAAGTCCCTCGGAAACGAGAGTGGTTGGCAAACCAGTTCTTCTCCTTACGACAAATACCCGGGCATAGTTCACGCCTCGACTCCGACGCAGATTGGATCGCGTCGAAACGAATTTGCGTTACAAAATGGACTGATAAATCGTTAGTAGCGCGTGGCGATTTATCATAGCGTAACCAACGTAAAGCGTTACGATTTTTCGTTCTTAAAATTCAATTTACACGTTCTCTATTATTTTGTAACAGGTGCAAAGATGAAAATAAACCGAACCACCGTTCGTTCGCCGGTGGAAATTAATGAGCGAAGACAAGCATCGGGAATCGTTCGGTTTAATTTCCAAGACGATAATTTCTCCCTTAACCGTAACCTTAACGAGCGATTCAGAGGAATATTTGAACGAGCCGTATCCGCTCGGAACGAAATGCTCCTCTATGTTTGCTCCTCCGCAGTCGTTTAACATTCCTAGAGGCGTACGTGTCGTATTGATTCAGTGAACGTGCACGCGGAACCGTGACAGTAGTCTTGGTAAATTCCTTACCTGAGTCACGGGGAACTACCTGTACGTCTTCTGGCCTATTTGCCGCGAGATAACATCGACCGAGGGGGGAAGTAAATTGTTGTGCCGCTCGATCATATTTTAGAACGACCCGTGTGCATTTCTACGATGCTGATACACGAACGCGGCGAACGTCAGAACCGCGATAAAACCGTGCCGCGGCATCGATAACAATCGTGCCCGATTCCTATCGAAGAGCAAACGATTTCCACCGAACCGATTAACGTCTTAATCCTGGCCTCGCTCCTATCTTTTCCATCCATCGGTCTTTGTTTCCCCCGCACGCAACGTTTTTGTTAAATAAACGTTAACCCGAAACTCCACCGAATTCCTCTGTTAACACGTTGCTCGTACCAAACCCCTAAAATTGTTAGATCGAAACTTTTTCTCCGGACGATTGGAAAGAGAGTTGAAATTAATATCCAAGAGGCCTAGATTTATTTTTTATATTAGATTCAGGGAATATCGAAATAAAATTATGATATTCGATATTCTTTTGCTGTTATGAATATAGTGAGAACTTGTATGAAGAGAAGCACCCTAACGATGTGGTCTGAAGGAGCACTACAGGAAGCAATGAAAAAGGGTATAAACGAAGAGTGGAGTAGTGATAAAGCCAGCCAAGAGTATGATATTCCACAAAGGACATTAAGAAGACATTTAGCGATTTGAGTAAAAAGAAACAGCGAATAAAAGTCCCCACACCCCTATTAGGTCAGATAATCGTGGGACTATTTGTAAACTAGAATAAACAGAACAAAACAATTTCCAATTCATTTGTGTAATTATCTAAGATACGTAGCGTCGAAGTAGAAAGGATAAAGGGGTGGAAATGGACTGCAAACGTTTCGAATTTATCACACGGGCGAGGTCGATCTCGTCGGAGGGAACTATTAAATTTATAAATCGCCAGTGGACGCGATTGGTCGCGCTCGTAGATACGTGACGGCAGATCCGTCACCCACCCTCTGCACCAGCGACGAAAGAACGTACCAACAAAATGTTGAATTAGGAGGAGCAAGGGTGATCGTTCGTACCGCGTCGAGATTGGTCCGGGTTAATGGTTTTTCGACGACCGCATCAGGGATGAGCAAAGCGTCGTGGAGGATAATTCGACAGCCGTGAAAGCACGCGGCCGCGTCGTTAAGTAACGCGTCGTGCATGCATATGAATGGCTAACTGCAAAAACCTCCACGAGAAGCTACGTTTTACAAACGGGGCAAAAAACTGAGCAACTTCTTGATCGAAAGGGAGACGAATTCTGAAAATTTTGTAGCCATTTTTATTTCTGTATTACCGAATGATAATTTGGTCGAAGTCCATATTTCAATGTCTGGTAAGCTCGTATCTATTAAAATTTTCATCCGGATAAGAATTGTGCCTGCAAAGCGACCCTCCGCATTTACATACGCCCGTTCGCGATAATCGCCTGTACGCGTAACGACATCGTGTCCACGGGGAAAGACGATACATCATAATTCCACGGTGAAAATCGAATCAATTCCCGGCCGCCTACGTGCGTCAGGTATTGATGCGTCGCGGATAAAACCGATGAGAGGGTTTCGCGCGAGCGTACTACGGAACGATCGTTGCTCGATGACTTCTCATCGGGAATGCACCGTTTCCGTACGCCTATTAGAATCCGCGAGATGGCAGGGAATCGCGTGAATCGAGAAGGAACGAGCAGGTGGTATTAAATAATTGAAAAGCGGCGAGAAACGTTGAAAACCACGCGAATTATTAGCTCGATTTTCGTCGAGCTAAGTCGATTAGAGTTTAATCGGGAGAAACGACGACGTTGCGTTTAAATAATGCGAAACGTGAAAAAAAAAAGGACGAAATTGCGGTGGCGGCGTACGTAATATCGCCGACGCCGATAAAGCGTAACGAGCCGTGCTCCAATTTGCTCCCCCTTTTCCAATTTTTCAATTTCCATTTCGCGTTTTCCGCGCGAAAGACCGCGGAGAAAAAATCCACAAAGCGGGTCTCAAATTGCCCCGCCGGAAGCACGGAAAGTGAGTCATATTTCCACGTACGCGGGGACCCTCTTCCCCGAAACGACGAGCGAAAATATCGTACGACGCGCGTGAGCCGCCGCGAAACGACATTTACCAACGGTATGCACATTCAACATTCATATCCTTGGGAAAGAGACCAGCGAAAAAAGCACACGTAACAAACGTAAATAGCGAGAAGGTGCAATATCGGAAACGGAAAGGTGGGGGAGCTCCAAAACTCGGGCTACGCAATTGTATTTCGGTTTTGAAGCGAGAAGCGAGAACATTGTTTTGCGAACGCCAGGAAAGTCTCAAGAAATATTCTTTCCCACGATAAACATAACTTCCGATATACCAGTTTCTAATATTGCGGTACGATAATCGTGTTAAGATTAAATAATGCTAAAATAAAGGAAAACAGTTTCAATTGAACACAGTTACATTGGTTTTTCTTTTTCGACAGACGTTTATTAGAATTTTGTAGCAAACATGGAATGAAAAATGGTAAAAATAACTATTATGACGATCACAGTGGACAAAAATATTCACACATACCAACGCGTTAAATTAACGTTACTGACCCAGTTTCAAAATTTTTCCGCACAACGTGTCGGGATTGAAGACGAATAAATTATTATGCGGTGCGCCTTTCTGCGATACTGTTTTAATTATCTCTTGGCCCATAATACCGCCGACGATGGCGCATACTGGGCTAATTTGGGCATACACGTCACCCCTAAATTGACAAAATTTATAATACATTGTTAATTACAATCGAAAGTTCGACTCTATCGGACAATATTTCCATAATACATACTCGAACAAATGGTTTATTTTATCCCCAAGATCATATTTTTTAATAACTTCCGTGGCTTCGGCCGTGAAATTCTCTGAACCTCTTTCACCGGGCGGTGGATCATTATTGTATTTTTCACGGTAATTGAGCATTACTAAACATGAAAACATACTCTGTAAAAGTGTTTTTCATTCGCTATTGTGGAGATGTATTATTCAAACACTTACTTAACATCATATAATACATTTCTGATTCTTTAGGAAGGGAAAGCTTTGGAACATTCAAAACTGATTCAAAAGGCACAAAAGTATCTGTGCGTTTCTCTGTCACAGTTATATTTTCAAACTTTTCTTTAATTACAGGCTCTCCACTTTCTGAGAGCTGTATTTTCTTTGTTTGCACTATATCTCTGTAAAACAGGATCATGTTCCATTTTAAGAAATTACTTAGAATAGCAGAATAATTCTTTACTAGAGGTTGGTCATCCACTCACTCTGCATATTCGTGCTCTATTAAGTCGGCAAAAGTATAGCCAAAAGTTCCCCACACATCTCCAGCAAAGAATTTCACATTATGCTTTCTACATATACCATTAATTTTCTTTATTTGAGTAATGGAACATTGTGTTGCGCAAACAACATCAAAATTGCTGAAATATGTGTCTGGTTTATCATCTACATTAGACGTATCTGCTTCGATATTAACCATAAGATTTAAATTTTTTGCACGTTGTAAGGATGCCTCAGCCCTCTAAAAACATAATTGTTCAAGAACAACATAACCCTACATCATAACTGTCTACTTACATTTTTACCAAGCGAATCTTTAGGTGTAAGGAATTGAGAACACCTATCTTCGGCTGTTACATTTCTATGATCTAAAAATGTAACCGCTTTCACACCTGCTAGAATAATATTTTTTGCTATTTCTGCTCCAAAACCATTTAACCCTATTAATAAAACTCTGGCTGCCCGTAAACTGTAATTATTTAATATTACACAACAATAATAATGCCCTTTCAATAAAACTAAAGTAATAATGGTGATTTACACTCTTTAGATGAGTTATTATTTTATAGGTTAGATTGCAATATACTTGCCGCTTTTGTGATTCTAAACCCCATAAACGAATTTGTCTGTCATACAACTCTGCTTCGTGGTCTGTTAATTCGACGTTTTGATTTTTGTCCTCAACCATGTTGTAAACAATGATTTATCACTTAAAAACTTACTGCCGCCAAAAACTTGTTCTCAAATTGTAACGACACTTACATCAAATATAGTACAGCCAACGTAACAATATTTAATTTCAAATATAAAAAGTAAATAAACACCATTGAATAACATACAAATTAAAATATTGAATGAGAACAATCGAAAAAGAATTCGTAGTTCGCAAAAATAAGATATTTAGTAAAGCATTGAATGTATATAATATTTAAATGTTATCAATATTTATGTTGGAGAAACTGTTGATTAAATGATTGGGGGCGTTAAAGATTTTTAACAGTTGATACCTGCATGTATTCTATGCGTCCGTTTAAAATGTTTTTTTAAAAAGTAATTGAAAGAAACATTATAAGCAATAGCACATGGCTCGATAAGACATTCATCGTCTCTAAAAATAAACACAACATGCAAGTATAATCTTGAATGCCTAGGTTAGGTAGTGTATGAAGTAATGTAATAGTTACATTAAATTGTTACATAGTAATTGTATGTTTAAGACCATTAACGTTACGCAAAATTGTAATGTAAATAATATGTTATCATTCATTTGTTTTTCAAGAATACATTTCCTAATATTATTACTTATAAACATGCAATGTTTATACTAGCACCCTTGGATATCAATAATGAACATAAAATCAAAAAGCAATGTATTTAAAATTAATTAACGTATAAAGTTTATACTTTTTATGTTTAGTTATTCCATGCAAGTTTTAAGAGAATGTTTCATAAAGAACAATAAATTTGTATTTCTGTATGATAGTAAAGTTTATCTAGAAGGCAAATCTATAGTCATTACAATTAATACATGAAAATAATTGTTTTTAAAAGAGTGTAGATAAAAAGTGCAATCAGAGGTGCTTTTACAATTTATCATTTGGCCTTATGACCTCAATGTTGTGAAAGCTGACCCCTGAAAAATATTGTTGTGTAAAAAGAAATAACATTGACCTTTCTTAGTATCACAATAGCAAACCATACAAATGATACAATATAATTTCTTTATTTCATTTATTTCTCTTTCTGATTTCATGCATTTTTTAAAATAAGCATTATTAAATATCGAAGTAAATTCTATTGTTCTCATTCTCATTCTCCCAAAAATAGATATATGGATTATCAAACATAATAACAAATTGTTACAAAAGAGATGAATATGCCTGAGGAAGAATGTGTGGAAAAAATGTTTGTATTTAAATTTCCAACATGCACAACAAATCAGGAATATACATTAGAAGTACCATTAAAAATACCTTATCGAGGTTCTATCAAAGAGCTCATGTACCGTTTGATGTCATCCTTTAAATTACCATGTTATGTGGAATCAAATTTATTGGAATCTTTGGAGCATACTATTAAAAAACTAACATTAGAATTTCATGATGAAAAAGCAGAAAAGGTTCTTGAAAATGCAAAATCAGGAAGCTTAGATATCGAAGAGATAATAAAAAATTGGGAAAAAATTTACAAACAACAAACAGCAGAATATGCTGATCCAATTGGAACAACCGACGAAGAACTGTTTGCTGCTGCATACCATAGATTGGTACACTCTCCTTCGCTAGAACCCATTCTACAAGCAGAACATAAATTTGGAAGAGATGTTACGGAAGTCATTCAAATGAGAGACACACACTATGATCAACTCACACAGAAGTAAGTATCGGTACTATCGTACTACATCATCCCAAAATACTTGGTTTCTTTCTACCCCGTTTTTTTAAAAGTTCAGTTAATTAATAAGAGAAAAAGTAGTCAAGAAACTTTACAAAAATAAATTACAGGCAAACCGACGAAATGCGCGTCGCAGTTGAAACCCTCGAGGTTGGTTCTACCGAAAAATCTATAAACGAGATGGCGGGACGACATTTCGAGGAACAAAGTTTACTGCAAGGTCACTGGGGATCTAGGGTCGATGCCTTGAAATTAGAACAAAGACGGCAGTATCGTAATTGGATCATGAGATTATTGGAGGAACAACAAACAAACATGCTACCAACTCCAGTGTACGTTTGTTCAAACAAAATGGACACCTACATACACGACGTTAATAATTTTGATCATGAATTATCAGGGGTTCTCCAATGGTGTCCATGCCTCCAATTCGACCCGCATTAGACAATTTTGTTCATAGCGAGGACAAACATACGGCGGACTATCCTATTTTGGAGGAAAGTTTCACCATACACTTAGGCTCCCAGATGAAGCAAATGCACAATATACGAATACTGACTGGGGATGTATTAGATTTTTGTAGAACAAAGAAAAGCGAATCAGGGTGGGTCAGTTCGAACAATACCATGGACTAATTTGTTTAAACTGAATTCAAGAGAAATGTTTCCTCTTAAAAAATAGAATGGACCCGACACCGCAAAGGCTGCAGACTGCTTTAGGGTTGTACTCTAACGATTTGTGCGGATTAGTACTGTTGAGCGACAATCATTTGGGAACCTATTCTGGCATAACGAAGGGTACCTAATACAATAGTATATGTAGTATGAACATAGTCATTGAGTTAGAAAACTGCATTCTATGCTTCTATTGTGGTCAATTAATCTTTCAGAATTATGTTCGATATGTCAATTAACGACTGAGTTCCATTTCCCGCCAATCGACGAGCAATTGGAAAAGATTCGGGACGACGTAAAAGATGCTGTTGCCTGGAGGCAAGCGCATCATAAAGAAGGAATCGAGTCACACGTAAGTAGAACGAAGTTACAAATGGTCCGTATCTTTTTTATGGTCAAGCGTATTTTAAATATGCGTTGTTTTCAGACAAAGAAGTCAACGACTAGCAAGAGCTTACAAACGGGTGACGTTTACATCACCAGGCATTCAAATCTAGCACAAGTTCATGTAATTTTTCACATGGTAGTGAACGACTCTTTGAGATCTGGTGAGTAATCGATTCTACGATAATATTTCACCGTTTCAATGCTACTGTAAATTACAGGCGACATCAATTCGAGGCACCCAGTTATTTTGGGCTTAAGAAATATTTTGAAAACCGCCTGCTGCAACGATGTGACCACACTGACGATTCCTGTACTTCTCGTACACGAAATGTCAGAGGTACGGTACTTTCTTTTTCTAACCTTTTTAGTTTGTAACCTTTAACCGTGAAATAATCAATGTATCTTAACATTTCAGGACATGACCGTGGCATGGTGCACGAAAAGAGCAGAACTGGTTTTCAAATGCGTGAAAGGGTTCATGATAGAGATGGCGTCGTGGGGCGGCGCCGAATTGAAGAATCTACAATTTCTTGTACCAAAGGTAAATTAATTTAAATATGAAAAAATTTCTATTGCCTAAATTATCGTTCACTTTTACAGGGAATGTCCGAGGAAGTGTTCGGTACTCTAGCCACGATGTTGCCAAGCATATTTCGAGTATCGAATCCGTTAGTATTCAAAGCAACGAGTACACCTCAAACTCCAAAAAAATGAACGACCGTCTTGCCACTGTTATCGTGCTCGCATTAAAAATACTGAAATATTAGGTTGGGGGAAAAAGAAATTCATTATTTTTCACGTTTATTTCGAGGCTATTTTACATGGTTCGGATTGTGCGATTTGGGTCAAATATAAATTGGGACCATAAAAATATTCGCCTTTATCAAAGGAAAATTGTAAAATATACCGAATTTTCTCTTTCTTAACTTCCATCTTTTACACCCTGTAACTCACAACTGAATCGATCAACCAAAAAACTGTAAAAGAATTTTTTTTAATACGGAATATCATTTTTCCAACAAACACAATATATCACCACAGCCACTTAAGTGAAAAATAATGGATTTCTTTGTCCCCAATCTAATATTTGTTACTGTGTATTATACATTTCAACCTTCATCATTTACCACAACTGGAAATAAGATATGATTCAACAAATAAACGTCTGATACTCTTAACATGCTTTTTTGTAATACTTTCACGCTACTTATGTTTTCTCGATCAATAGTCACGAGTTTTGCGATTGTATACGTCACGGTTGCTTTCAAAATATTTCTCATCTCTACAGCAATTAATCTTGTAATAATTAACAACTAAGTTGTTGATGTATCAAAGGCCCGCCAATAACCTTTCAAAAATGAAACACAGATGCAAAGTGTTCGATATAAATTAACCTTGGAACAATACTTCAACGTCACGTGCTTATATTTATTCAAATGCCAATAATGTTTTTAAAAACAATAGCGCGAGTGCGAAACTTCAGATAAAAAAATGCAGTTTAAATTATATATAGAATTTTCGCAACGAGATGAAAAAGAAATCAGCATGCGAGATTAATGTGTAACATCCTCGCGACAAATGACAATCAAGTTTGTACTAATTATAGTAAAACGAACATAGGAGACCGCGTTATCGTGGCTATAGTCTAGTCGAGGAAAGAATCGACTCGCTTCTTCCACAGCTTCAGATATCTCTAGCTTACTATTAAAAACACAATATTGTTTTTACCGTTATTAATTGGATGGACAATCTATAGTTAAAGAGAAATGTTAAAAAGAATTTAATGGTGAGAGATTGCCCGAAGCGATATTTTCTCGGATCGACTATAGAACACATGGCGCGGACGTTATCGTTGTCAACTGAATTTTTATTTCCTCGAGCATGGAAGTTCGCTGATACGTATCAACATTTCCGTCGACAGTGCAATTATTTTGTCGCGAATCTCGGTTGCATTTTCGGCTCTATTTCAATTAAAATCACATCCCCTACGATACATTTAAAAAACAAAAGAATTTTTCGTGATCTTGGAGACACTCCCAAGATTACAATTCTTATTAGAAAAATGGTAAGTTTTACAGTAGCGATGTATCTAAAAATTTTAAGTTACTAATTTAAAAATTGTCTTCAAATTATTAAATAATAATTGAAAAATATCCATGCGAATCTCGGTTGCATTTTTGGGTCTATTTCAGTTAAAATCACGTCCCCTATAACGATACATTTAGAATTTTCCGCGATCTTGAAGACATTCTCAAGATTACAATTTTTATTAGAAATATTGTAAGTTTTACAGTAGTGATGCATATAAAAATTTTATGATACTAATTTAAAAATTGTCTCCAAGTTGTTAGATAATGATGGAAAAAATATCGATGCTCCCCTATAGAGTGTAAATTTAAATAAACGTTCGTGGGCCGCGCGGTCACAGATTAAAAGCCAAGTCGAGTGGTTAATGCCCGCGGAGTTGCAACGTGAACACGAAACGAACGACGTCGTGGCGATATCGTCGTGCGAATATAAATTAATTGAAAAAATAACCAGCGATTAATCGTACGTGTGTGGCAAAGAAAAATAAAAAAAGGGGGTGTAAACATAAACCAGAACGTGCATACGGAGACGCGTAATCGCGCTGTATCTGAAAAGAAGTGCGTTAGCCTCTCGCGGATTCTGAACCGACCGGGAACGGATTAATTCTGCGCGCGCCCCGCGAAGCTACTCGAAAGGACATTCGGAGAATTTTCCATTTTTTCTCCTTTCTCGTTAAGCGAACGCATCGCACGAACAACCGTCAGTGCAACATACATGTTCCTTGCGTAAAGAACTTAATATAGAAACACTCTAACGTAGTCGAAGAAAAGTTAATAAAAACTCGGTAATTAATTGGAAAAAACAAATTTGTTAAACTTAACGAGATTGCAACAGTGAAAAATTTAACTCGTACGTGAAAATTATTACAGAGTTTTATTGATCGAGTTTATGGTGTAATAGAGTTCGTTTATTATTTGTATATGAAATTATTTAAATTATTGTAACCACCCGTGTAACCGAAAAATAATTTCCCTCGATCACGATACTTTTTTTCCTTATAGGTCAGAGATTGAAAATTGGAGCCAATTTAATTGAAGATTACTGTTAAAAAAAGAATCGAAGAAGTTTACGGTTGTTCGATAACGAACGTGTACTCGGTACAACGAGATCGAAAGGAGTGCAGTTCGAATTGCATCGGCAATAACGACGCGGAGGCGTCGCAGTAACGCCGAAAATACGCAGCACGGAATCGATCTGGATCAGGTGTTTTTCCATTTGTGGTCGACGTTATCGCGAACGGAGATTATATTTTTGTGAAGTGCGAGAAACATAAACAATTGTAATTATAATTGACGGTTGCAGCGGCCGAGACGTGCGCGAGATAGAAAGGATTCCGTGAACTGACGCGAAAGGCGAGGAAAACAGACGAAGAGAGGAAGAAAAATAAAAAGGGAAAAGAGAATCGTCGGTCGAGCAAGTGCATCAGAATGCTGAAAAGCTCCTCCTGCCCCCCTCTTAATTCGGCACTGTGATCGTGTGCAGAGTATGCCGCGGATGAATTCGTTGCCATTCCAGAGGAACGTTGTGCGAGAAGCATAGTTGGCAACCAGGCGGTCCAGTTTCGAGTGCAATCGAAATTGCATCGCGTCGTTTATCGGGTTACAAGATAATCATACATCACCTGGACAATGTGGCCCGGGGCGATCACGGTTTTCGCACTAATTGTTTCTACGGTCTCGGCTAAGACGGTGGGTTTTCTGTCGCGTACACTTTTACCACTTAATTAACTTAATTATTACACTAAGCACGACTAACGGTGGACAAGATTCTACGATGGACACTTTCGACGCGCGGTTTCGATTATCGCGAGCGATGCTCCTCGATATCGAACATCGAGATACAGCTTTATCTGGATCGTAATTTCGGACGAATATTTATTTCCTGAATATAGTTAATCAAACGAACGTTTCTTCGAACGAACATTTATTTATTCCCGACGAATGAAATATTATTCGAGTATACATGTTCGTTATTCGTTATTCGAGTGTATGCTCGAGCGCGATTCTACAGAGACGGTTATTCCAATATGGCGGACGACAATTTGTTTTTACGCGGTAAACCACCCCGCTCGAGAATAACTCGATTCGGAAAACGAATTTGTTGCTAACGCGTATAATAATGACGGATTTTAATTTAATTTTATTTTTGTTATGTTATTTTATTACCTTGAACGTTGCAGCTCGATCTGTCGCGACGCGGCTTGAAGAAGGAAGACTTCTTCTTGAAGCTCCAGTCGCAAATCACTCTGGCAGAAGTCACCGATCTGATTCTCCGGGAGAATCAGTTCGACAGCTTCCTCGACTGCTCCACCAACCTCACGAGCCTCAGGACACTAGATTTGTCGCAAAATCATCTTCAACGGTTCTTTTTCCTATGCAGAGAAGAATATAATTTGCAGGTGTTGAACGTTAGTCACAACCACCTTCAGTACATCGACGACAATGCCTTGAACGACCGAATCCCGAAGCTCAAGATACTCGATCTATCATCGAACAAATTATCGATAGTCAACGAAACCATGCTGGAGCATTTTAAAGTAAATGTCTCGATATATCGATTCGTTAGCACGTTTTCATTGAATTTCTAAATAATTAAAATTTTCATTTAATTGTTTACAGGTTTTGGAATACCTTTCGTTAGCCAATAATCCGATCAACGACGGTATCCACGAAAATGCGTTCTGGAATTTGAAGGCACTGCGATACTTGAGCCTAAGCAACGTATCGTCCACGCAATTCACGTTCGAGTTCTTTAAAACGTTAACTAACTTATCATCCCTAGATTTGTCAGTGAATCCCATAAAGTCGATTCCGGCTTTACCGGAGAACCTGGAAGAGCTCGATTTGTCTAGCACTAAAATTTCGAAAATACCAAAAATCGCGTTGCCCAAATTACGAGAATTAAAATTGCACGACATGCAAAGTCTCCAAGAATTAGTGCTGAACGATTTAGAGAATTTAGACCAATTGGAAACGTTATCCGTGGTTGGATCGAAGAAATTAACGCATGTGAAGTTATATCCGTCGGATGGACGCCTACTGCAACAACTGCAACGCCTTTCGATAAACGACTGCGCCCTGAAAACCCTGGACTACAGCCTACTGCCGATAATAAAGAGAACCGCGATCGTGAACCTAGAGGGCAACCCTTGGAACTGCGATTGCAAAATGCAATGGATAAACCAATTGAACGTAACCAAGTCTCTCAGCCGGGATATCAAGTAAGAAAAGTTAATAATTATAGTAGCAAACTTAATATTTTTTCAGATTATTCTATCGAAGTAGTTGGTAACTGACCAAAAGTTTCGCCGTAGCTTTCGAAGATGTCTCTGCTAACACCATGAAATAAACGATCGCTAATATTTCACTTATTTCACAACGCGTATAAAGTTAAAAAATATTTAAAAATTATTAAAATTCGGATCTCGATGCCTGTTAATGTTAGATATTAATTGAACATTTATATAGTTCTTCTTTAAATTGTTGCTGATTAAATGCATAATATTTTTAATGTAACCTATAGTTTTGTGTTATTTAATTTAATTAGCAATTTTAAATAATAAGATAGAAAGAAGAATGGACCTTATCAATTCTCATTTTCACGTTTTCCAGATGTCGCGCTCCCGAACGGCATTTCAACAAACAGTTGAGCGAGATACCAAAGTACGAGATGGAGTGTGAGACCGACACGTCGCTGTTCTACCCGGTCCTGTGGGCCTCCATTTTGATACTGGTCGTGGCGATCATCCTGGCGGCGGGCTTTTTTCTTTTGAAACGACCGATCGGTCATTGGGACATCAGGCGAAAGAACAGGGACACCGTCACTTACAAGAACGTAGACGAGTCCTCGAACGACATGGTGAGAATTCTGACTGTCGGCGAGACGGCCGACCGTAATGGAGAATGAACCGACACCGAACGGACTATACAATGGAAACGTATTAACGTAGGATAAGCGATAGAGACTTAAGAAACGAGTACACAAGGTATCACAATTAACCTCTACAATCAAAGTATCTCTCCTACAAAATTGAAGAAGAGATTTGCACCGTTCGAGGAGACAGACTAGACAAATTTTTTCGCCATTTTTTAAAGACATCGAGGTCATCGACATTTCTTTAACACGAAGCACATATTTCTGTTCGCGTGACGAGTTCAACGACTGTAAATTACTTTACCTCTGAATGACCTTGATGAAAAATTTGAAATTTGGAATCTATTAAGATACGACTTTCAGAATCTATTTTCTATTGCAATATTTATTCCTTTGAACAGTGCAACGGTGCACAAGTAACAGAGAAGCGCTCAAATTGATCGAGACAACCTGTATTACACGTTAAAAACGACTCTTGGTAATTTTGTACAAAAGCGGTGCACAGAGTGTTTCAGATTTTACGGGAAGGGAAGCTTATGAGAAGCAATAGAGTTGGCTTTAACTACTTTTGCAATGAAAAAGGAATTAAAAAATATGACGAACAAATTAGTATACGTTTCTTTTGATTTCTACGCCTAAATTTGTTCTTCGATAATCGATTTCTGTCCCTGTCGCGCACGTCCATGGAAAACGTTACTGAAAAAATCGTCATGCGCTGTTTTGTTGCGGACTTTCATCATTGACACGCAAAATGGGATAGCTTTATTTCACTTGCCAATCGGCGTTCTTTGTTTTCAAAAGCATTGATAAACTCCACCTATACGTGGCGCTACTAAATATACATAGCGGGCAACGAACGTGTTAATCTCCGGCAGGGGCGAGAAATTTGTTTTCGAAACGAAAGTGGTGAAAGCGTCGTTGCGAAGAGATCGACGAGTGTTTTGAATTTATTGGTCGACACTTGGTAGAAATAAGAATTGACACCGCGAACACACTTCCTTCCAGAATGTTAATCTAATCCGCGGCCAGATATCTGCTTCGAGGCGTCGGGAGTGTAAACTACGGAGCCATTGACGCTTTGAACTCTCCAGATATCGAAACTATCGCGGGGAAAGTCCACGATATAAGAAACGGCGATGGGTTCACGAACCTGCTCCGAGTAACGCCTCTTTCATATTTTCTCTTTCTTTTTTTTAATTTTAATCGCCGTTCAAGTTCGCGTCGACAACTCCGAAGCACTCTGTGCAATTTTCTATGCCTTGCATGTAACAAATTGGATCGAAAATTATGTAGCGAGCAGAGGAACCGCAGGATATTTGGAATATATATTTAAAGTCGATGCAAAATTACAGCAGAGGACGAAAACAGTTATTTCAAACTATAATTAAAAGCGAAAGGTATCCGAAATTTTGATCAGGTTGAAAAATCGGAATTATTTTACTCTGAAAATTGAGTCCTAAATGTAAAAATTATACGTTGTTTGCAAATTAGATAAGGTAGTTTTTTAGGTAATTCGTTATTCCAAATTCGTTGCGCTTCTTTTAATATGGTATAGCGGGTGGCTGTCAATAGGCTTTGTTAATAGGGCCACGCGTCGAAATGCAGAAAAATACACTGTAAATACAGAGGCAACGTTTAGCCACATCTCGAGCATCCCTTAAAACTCGAAACACTACGAGCGTCGAGTGCTCGAACCATTATCTGAAGTGCGTGGCAACAATATGGGGTCTCCGAGTCGAATAAAAACGTCTTTTTGTCGGCACGCATCGGCGTATTTTACCGAAACCCTTTACTACCTCTTCTAACTTTAAAACGAAATGTCTGCACAAAGGAAAGAACGGATACAATGCGGTCGATGGCTCGTTTCCTCCTAACGATTCCTCTCATCGTGAAGTACGATTCCACGCATCGACGACCGTGCGTACCTTCTTCAAAAACAGAGCTAATTGAAATTCTACGAGCACCTTTTGCGAGCAATTCGACCCGAAGAATTTCTCTCCCCTGTTTCTCTGCGCGAACCGTACGCTGTTTTTTCGAATCAAAGTCAGAATTGGCGCATGAATCAACCGTACTCCATTCTTCGAATCTCTGTTATAACTGCGGATGTTTATGCATTTATGGGACATTTTAATTCTTAAAAAACTACAGAATTCAAGTAATCAGATTTCAAGAAAGATAGAAATTATTTTATACAGAAGTTGAGACTCTGCATAAAAAATTTTCATAAAGATCCGCAGTCTAGTTATAACGGTGTAATTATAGAGATGTTACTTCTAAGTGGAGATGGCAATTGTGAACTGAATATTAGAAAAGATCAGTTTTGAAAGAACGAGATTCTTGCACTTTTTTCGTGACCCAAGTAACAAAGATATTAATATTTGCCAGTAAGATTTTAAAAACGATTGAACGACATCGGGGGGTGTTCGTTTCCGGCGATATCGATGAAAGTACGTTTGAGACATGCACTTGGTCGAGAAAAAAAAGAAAGAAGCGCGATACAGGCGAGGCGGAGGACGGGGCGAGCAAATGGTGCTATAAAGATCGTCAGTTTCCGTGACGTGCACCGTGATCGCGTGCGATGTAGCGATCAGCCTTTGTACCGAAGTATGATCTTCCTACGGGAAGCCTATTGGGTTACGGCTACGCCCGGGGAGCCTTCCATATGGAAGAACACGTTACGGCCCAGGAAAGTACGGCCAACGAGGAAATCGCGTCGTGTGTCGCCGATTTTAACACTTTAAAGTACGGACGCGAGACAACGGACGATGGGAGGAGATCGCCTGGAAACGTGTACTACCGATTTCGGCTCGTTCGACGATCGTTTCGTCGTGTTACCGCCACGGTGTAGCCTCAAACTACTTCACGAATCCCCTGTGTCACCTACACGAACTTTGACACGCGTGAGATCAGACGCGTCGTCGTATCTAGTTCGTGAAATTAAATTCGAATCTTTGGCGCGAGGGACTATGGAGTAATTTATTGACTGTTGATAACGATTTGATTAGTTAATTTCGGTGGTCCAAAGCGTCTCTGGATGGCGAACCGCAGGTGTTTCCGCGTGGTTCGTTTTTTCAGAGCAATTCACGCGTGGAGGACACAGTTGTTCGTGCCAAGGGAGCTGCGAATCCGCGTCAAAATCGTCGAGGCGAGTTGCGGGTGGTTCGTGGCAGGAGAAGCGAAAGGATCGGGGGCCCTGTTCGATTATACCGATCCACGTTCAATGGAACATTGTGGAACTCCTTTTTGGATATTCCAGAAAGAGCCCCGAGAGGGGGGGTGGAAAGAGGGGGAGGGCTGTTGGAGGATGCTGGACGTTTTACGTCGCGATATCGAGTGTCCGTAATTCGAGATCCCGTGCGAGCCAATTTGGCGAGCCGGCGGAAAAATAATACACCGCCTACCAGCGTCGGGGCACCGGGACGCGTCGCGAGCGCGGAGAAGCGAATTTTTAACGGCCAACGTGAAACACGTGGGCAGCACTGGACCCAGGCTATCGTGAATATCGTGTTTCCAGCCAAGCAAATACGAGATCCTCCCTTAAGACGCCTCGATAGCCCTGCCGATATTTCGTCGAAAAAAACCAGACTTCTAATCGACGTCCACGAAACTGCCCGACCAGTCGCCATTTTTTTATAAGAGAGAGACTTTTCGTAGAAATTGAAACGTCGACGCTAGATTTCTAATAAAAATTATACAAAATTTACTCGACTGGACTTTCGAAAATTTATCTACCTTTAATTTCTTTTGTACAAATAGATCAACCCTTAAGTGGACTCTCAATCCCAACAGAATTGTTTTACTCAATAGTGATTTTTACCAAATTGGTAAATGATCTAATAGAGTGGATAAATTTTCAAATAATTACACTGACATTATTAAACTGGCTGTCCCAATAATCCACCGAAGGGTCAAATGATAGTTCTAGTGTCGAAGCAATAAATATAGAAGTAAGAGAATCTCTACAATAAAATTGTAACCTTGTCATTGCACTGTCAATTTTATAGTAATTTAAAGGGATGAAATCCCTAAAAAATTCAACGTGTACGGAGAATCGTGACACAGACTGTTGTATTCACGGGTTAATGCAAGGGGGAGAATTTGAGCATTTTTCGGGTTTTAAATTCCAGAGAATATAAACGTCGAGGGGTTAAATCGGTCCGTGTTATTCGAAAAAATCACGGTATAGCGGACGTTCGAACGTATTCGGCTTGCTTAATACTCGTCGAGATGTATCTGCGAAACGTTGCGCTTTCCGATTACGATTCGTTAAACCGGCGCTCTTGCATTAACTAAGCTGACCTGCTAATTACCTCGCACCTCTGATATTTCAACCCGTTTCCTTTCTCCTCTCGTTTCTCGCCACCCTCTCGTTTCCTCGTGCCGCCCACTGTTTGAAACGACCGGGGGGGCCGCTGGGAAACCTGGAAAAAGCAGCTGGGCGTCGCGATTCTAACGCGAACGCAGTCACCGTGCTCGCAGACCACTCGAATTAAACTTTTTACCGGGCAAAATTCTCCTCCACGATTTTTATCGCGCGATGTCGTCGAAAAGGCTCTCCAAGATGATATACCGAAATCTAGAAACAACAGAAAGCGACGAAATTTACGCTTCCTTGACTCTCTTTATCTCATTTTGTAATATTAATGCCTTGCATGAGAAAACATCAATCCAAAATTGCAGACAAAAGATCAAAAAGCTGCAAAATTGAAGGTTCCTTCGCTCTCTTTATCTCGTGATACAACAAATTCTGATGTCAAGTTTCACAATCATGAGACTACTCGTCATCGAATTTTACATGTAAAAATCAACACATTCTCACGAGGTATTCGTAAAACAAATCTATTCTTTTTCGTGGCGAATAAAAATTCTAGTACGAATAAAAAACAAACTTAAATACTATACGTTTGAAAAATTACATTAAATCGTACGTTAAGGGATGAATAAGAAAATTGTTATCAAAAGCTAATATCGTATATCATTTTAATGTACATTCTAATGCGCACCTGCAAATATGCATATTTTGAAAAATTATTGACTCCATCCGCACGAGTATCGTCGAGTGCGTAAGGGTTAAACCTCGCGCGGATAAAGCTCGAAAATAAGGGTATCGAGCGTGCTGGCGGCGAGGATAGGTTTATTGTGCGGCGATTTTTGGCGTTCCGGAGTTTTATCTGATTAAACCAACATAGAAACACGGGGTTACGCGTGTAAGCTTTCCCTGCCATCCATAGGGAACGGCCCGAACAAATGAATAATGAAAATAAAACCCACGATGCTATCGGTAAGCACCACGGGATTACATACGCATCAGCGCGGTTGCGATGAACTTACATTATAGAGTCCCCCGTAACAGAGACTACACACGCGTGTGTTTCAGCCTTGCACCGTACGTTACGCATTTGCGCAAAGAAAACAGGACT